GAAATGTACTGAGTGAAAGGTCACCGGTCGGTGTGTCGTCTTTGTCTCGCTGGCCAATGAAATCGTAGCACTTTCTTATTATCGTTTTGTGACTATCGAATCAGTATGACTCCCGAAGCAGCGAAAAACTGAACAACCAAAAGCATCATTTTATTAAAAATAAATAAAATAATGCACCAATACAAAAAATACCATATAAAAAGATGTATTTCTCGATGGTGGCTGTAGCACATAACCTCTTCTACTGCTTGCTTTCATATTTCTGCGGGGTTTTTTGTTTTGTTTTTCATGTCGGTGTCATGCTGCGATTTTTGTAAAAAAAAAAAAAAAGTCTGAATATTGTATAACTGAAGATTCTTGTGTAAATTATAACCTCTGCAACTTCTTTTTTTTTTCTTTTTGCTCTTCATTTCTGCCCTTTTATCTGTCATTTCCTTCTAAACCGAAAAGAATCATGACAATAAATGAACCGTGAATGAAGTACTAACTGCTTGTGCTTGGCTTTTCTTCTCCTGCCTCTTTCTTCTGTCTGCTGAGTTAGTGTGCACTATTATAACATTAACGCAACTCACTCATCAACCCAAGTTTGCTGCTGTAAGGTTTGGAGGAAATTACTTTTTTCTTCTTGGATCTTGTATGATTTTTTTTTTTGAGGGCCTTAGAGACCCTGATAATTTACATGTAAAAATAATCATATCATTTTTTTTAATTAACATTTATTTTGCCTTTAAAAATGTTCCTCTGACTGAATAAAAGAGAGCTCTTAGAACATCAGGGTTAAATATATGTTTTATATATAGTGTATATTTAATATCGTTCCAAACATTTGATGGCCAGCAAGATTTTTTTTATGTTTTTGAAATTATCGTCTTATGCTCACCTAGGCTGCTTTTATTTGATCAAAAATTGATAGAAATCTGTAATATTGTAATATTATAATGTTGTACTATAATATTATAACAATTTAAAATAACTGTTATCTATTCTAATTTTAATATGTAATTTATTCCTGTGATGCAAAGCTGAATTTTCAGTATCATTACTCCAATCTTCAGAGTCACATGACCCTTCAGAAATCATTCTAATATGCTGATTTGCTGCTCAGAAAACATTTATTACTTTTGATTATCAATGTTGAAAATGGTTGTGCTGCTTAATAATTTTGTGGAAACGATACTTTTTTTGTTGTTCAAAGCAAAGCATTTATTGGAAAAAAAAAATTTGTAACAATGTAAAAGTCTGTTACTGTTTAATCAATTTAATGCATCCTTGAATTAAAAATATTAATACCTTTAAAAAAAATCATACTTATCCTAAAATCTTAAACATTAGTGTATGTCGTATTATTACGAATCGTTGACAGACAAAACAAACAAAAAAATGTTGTATGTATATATATATTATATATATATATATATATATATATATATATATATATACTGTATATATATATGCCAATTCACTTGATTGCATTAACTGTTTTAATAGAATATTGTTTTTAAGTTAAGAACCACATAAAGTGATTTATTTTGTACCTCGGTTTGTAAAATAACTCGTACCTTAGTTTATAAAAACAAAAAAATGCACAACAGGTATGCCATGACACGGTTGTCTCATAGACCTCTATTATAAGTTTATTAAATTCAACATAACTCAACTTCTTTTTAAACTGAAATATCTCTTTAAATGGTTGTCCTGCAAACACTAGTCAGTACGCATGAGTACCCGTCCTGGGAAGACAGGGACAGTCTCCTCATTTTAAATCAAGCATGTGAAATTCACACAGTTTGGCAGTGTGTTCAAACCCACCCTTTTGTCCCCTCTAAAGTTTCAGTTGTTGTCATGGTTATAAGAAAGTTTCAGTTGTTGTCATGGTTATAAGACGATACAAAGAAGACCCTATATGGCACAAAGATCTGGAGACGGTTCATTTTGATGGGGGTGCTGTTTGTGTCCCTTATTTCTAAAGTGCATTAAAATGTGTTGAAAACACCTATCGTAAAAGACTTATTCGCCTTGCTTTACTTTGCCTGCTTTTGCATTAGTAAAGTAGTAGTAAACTAAACTTCTAAATTAAGATAACTATTGCTATAAGCTTGTTTCCACCACAGAATAAAAAGAAAAAAAAAGTAATTGACTTTTTATCTCACAATTCTGACATTTTCAAGCAATTTCTAGTTTATATCTCACAATTCTTAGAAAAAAAGTCTGAATTTCGAGTTTATATCTTGCAAATCTGACTATATTTCTCACAATTCTGAGTTTATAATTCGCAATTCTGACTTTTTTATAACTCAACACTGACGTCTAGCGATCAAAATAGAGCAAATCCCCTTTTGAAAGTAACATGGCGCTTCAAATAACGATTGTATCGATTACATCGTGACTTTACAAGTGACTGTAAAAAATTGATTTGTCATTGAATCGTTCATTCAAGAGATTCGTTCAAAAACGCTGATTCATCCAGTAATAAAACAAGTGAAGTATTTGTAGCCGTGTCTCCTTTTGAAGGCTGTGTCCTCTGGAGGTCTCATTTGTCGGCCGTGTACGTCATCACATTATGTCTTATTTCAGAAAAGTAACCATTATATAATTGAATGTTATTTCTTGTGAAGCATAAATTGTTGTAATTCCCTAATGACTTTGGAATGTAATGGTAACTTTAATGAAATGAGGCAGCCTCTATGACGTGCGCGGCCAACAGATCTTCGGAATGAGACAGCTTGTGAGTGAGTCATTGAATCATTCATTCAAGAGATTTGTTCAAAAATGCTGATTTGTCCAGTCATGAAACAAGTGGAGTCTTCGTGAGTGAGTCATTGAATCATTCATTCAAACCAGTTTAAAAAAAATATCCATTCAAATTTATTAAACATTTTCAAAAAGACTGCAGTAATTAATATTTTGTCAGAACCTCTAGTCAATTAAATGTAAAGAATTGTGATTGTCAATTTATTGTTCAGCTCTAGTTGCAAATCAGACTTTTTTCACCGAAGTGTGAGATATCAACTCGTAATTGCAAGTTATAAAGTCCAAACTCGCAATTGTGAGATCAAGTGTCACAATTTTGTTTTTTCTTTTTTGTTCCGTGACTCCGATCACATTACAGCTGCATTTGAGGTGTTTTGTATAGTGAAAATGAACTGTGTTTGCTCCCATTTTAGGTGACACCACCTACCTGGATATTTTCCGGGAGTTTTCCCATATGGCATCCCACAATCCTGAGAAGTTGAAGCGGAGGAGCGTTCACTTCCGTCACTCCTTCAGGTGATATCCGTTGAGGAATCTGTTAGATAAATGCAAATATTGCGTTATAAACACACACACATATAATTAAATATATTTCTTCTTAATCTCTTCTAGAGTATGAACGACCAACCCTGTTAAACTTTGGACACCAAACAAGCTGGAGCAGAAGACACTTTGACTAGCTGATATAAGAAGTGTGATGGAGATGAGCGTGAAGGACTTGAAACAAAAATTGTGGTCGTGTTGAATGTTTTTAATGATTTTAATGATATTTTTTGTAGCTTTATGGGGGTCAGCTGGACTTAACCCCCAATGTTTTGTGTTTGTTTTCTTCATTTGCATTCTCCTTTTTTTAGCCATAGACCGTAACAGACATCCAAACATCTACAATTTATGATTACACGTCTAAAACATATAATCAAAAGATCATGCATGAATGCTTTCCCATTTTACATTTCATCTCAGTACTCTTACAAGCATCACTTTTACCCTCTATTATAAAACATATCCAGCACTGATTTTTCTTTTTTCTTTTTTGAAAGCAGTTGAAATAAGGAAGTTGTTTTTGGAGAATCTGCAGTGATTTTGTCTGTTGCTATAGTGATGAATGTACTGTTTTGTATTGACTATGCTGGTGTAGTCTATATATTTTATCTGTACAGCCACTATAAATCATTGCAAATTCAAATGCAGATATTGTATTTTGTCTTTTTAGATACAAATTGATAATATAAAATGATGGTATTTTGTAAAAATGCAAAAAGTGGTAAATAAATATCTCTAAAAAATCAAAATAAAATATCTCTATTGTGATTTAAAATTATGATTTTGATGTATATTAATCTGGGTTATTTATGCATAGTGTATGAAACGTAAAGGTGATACATGTTTTGGCCGCAGTATATTTTTCCAAAAAAAAAAAAAAAATTACAATTCTTCCCCCCCCCCCCCACACACACACAATTTCATGTATCTCTGATGAAGACAAAATAAGAGGACATTGGACATGATTCGGGACATTTAACGGACAAGACATCCTTTCAGAGTTACCTTACATTCGTGCGTCCACAAGAAGTGGACATTGAGAATCGAGATTTCATCCAGCCCGGACGATTGAATTGTTCTTAATATGAGCCAGTTCTTTAGTGAATCTAAAACATTCAGTGCGATTCGCAAACGAATGACTCTTGTGAATCGATTCTTTATAGTGAATTCAAAATAGTGAATTCAAAAGGACCGTATAAAAAAAACCCCTGTAATGTTGAGTCAATACATATAAAAACACAAACCAACATATTCTCACATGTGAAAGGTCATCCCAATTATTGGGAATTTTATTCTCTGCGGTTTAACAACGAGAAGCAGCGCAATGTTGTGACATCAAGAATCATTATTCTTAATTTGAGTGACGACACGCTGACCGTTCCAAGATGGCGGGACAAATGACTCTTACGAGTCGGTTCTTTAGACCTATATCACTGACTGCTCATGTATGTTCATGTAACAACGTGTATTTAAAGATACACATTTTGTATAAATAATGTGATAATAACTAATAATACTAGATAAATAACTAATAACTAATTCCTTTAAAAAAATCCCGTCGTTAAAATCCTTACAATTCCCATCGATACTGCTAAAACGCATTTCTTTTTCATGTGTGTGCAACCCGCTCAGTTTTGAGTCAGTTTACGTCAGACATTTATTTTGAAAATCAACCGAATGCTTTTCAGAACTTTTATTTTGTCATTTTACATCATCACTTCCTTGTGTTGCGGCAGCCATATTGGCATGGGGGATAGATGACAATTTCACCTTAGCCGAAGAGCTACATTTTTGTTATTTTTGAAAGTTTATCAAGTGCGTATTCACTCTGAACTAAAGGGATATCAATATATCACCACAATTTGACCCTGGTCGATCCCGTGGAGGGCGTTGAAAGAGGTGAGACGAAACCGTTAAAAATCCCTTTGCAGTGTCTAAGGCTGTGTTTTAAAACCTAGCGAACTATTTACTTATCTATTTATACCTGTCTGTCACTGTTATTGTCTTATTTTGTCTACATATGCTGACCATGAAGGTGTTAACCGCTCTATAAACATACGCTACCACGTTGTTCTAAAAAGCTCAACAGTTCTGGTCATTTTTTGCTTAACGTTAAATGTCTGTCGTTGTGTATTTAATTTTGTACAGTTTAGTGTATTGCGAAGACGATGTAAGATCGTTCTTTCCGTTTGTGTCAAGCTGCTTCCTTATTGACAATCGTAACAACATGGTTGCAGTTAATGTCAACAAACATGATCTGAATAGCGTTGATGTATTTCAGGCTTTATAGGTTATTAAGAATATACTGTTGCTTCATATTAGTGTCTTTTATGAAGAATGGGAAGTGTTCATTGTGTAACTGAGAGTACCATGTGATTTCACAGATGAGCAACAACTTAAACAAGAGGGCCCCAACAACAGCAACACAGCGGTTAAAACAGGACTACCTCCGCATCAAGAAAGATCCAGTTCCGTATATCTGTGCTGAACCTCTGCCCTCCAACATCTTGGAATGGTACATTTGGTTTCCTTTAAAACATTTAGATAGACAGACTTACTGTTTTTTATTGCCTAGTGATTTGAGTTTGGAACTGTCAAGTTTGACTCTTAATTCTTAAAGTTCCCCCTTTTACACTTGTTTGTGAATGTTGCAGACCTTTAAAGTTTATGATGAATAAAATTATTGTCTCAAAGAAAGATCTGATTCTGAACTGCCTGAAACGAGTTGTCAGTAATTAGTCTTACTTCCTTCACAAACCTACACCTCTGACCAATTATCCAGACCAATCACGGATTGGGAAGGGTTTAGACTTTAGAGAAACTGAATCCTTTATCGAACCGTGTCAGACACTGTGAGAAAAGAGGAGATGCTGCAATGTATATTATGAGGAAATTAAAGTGTTTTTTGGCCTTGGATGCATGTGAACCTGTCGTATGAGACCTCAAGGCAAAATTAGGAACCTTTAAAATAGCGTAATAGGGACACTCCCTTATAATCGGTTTTATAATTTCTATTGTATTGAGCAGAATGTTCATACAATGAAGGTGAATGGAGACGGGTGCTTATGAGTTCTTGAAAGGACACAAAAAAAACACCATGAAAAGTGGTCTATATGAATCAAAACAATACATTCCAAGTCTTATGAAGCTACATGATAGCTTTCTGTGAGGATTCAGACAGAAATTTGAGTGCACTACGGTACCTATACTGGCTATTTTTATGGTGCTTATTTGTCCTTTTTGAAGCTTGACAGACGAATATCTGTCACTTTGCTTTTGCTGCATGTAAAAAGTTTAACTGAAAGCAACTTGCACTGACATATCCTAATCCATTATTTTGTCTCAAGATGCACATCAGTAATGTTTTTTTTTCTAAGGTACGTTTATAAAAACTCCTTAAATGGCCTAATCCTGGCTTAATCTAAGCCATGTCTGTGAAACCGGGTCTTAATGTTTTAATGGTTGTAATCATATCACTCTAGATACTATCACATGTTTTCTTCTCTTTCAGGCATTATCTAGTACGTGGCCCTGAGAAAACTCCATATGAAGGTGATTTCCCTCTTTAATTTCACATTAGTGCTTCCCTTTTTAAACTGCTTTGTGCAAAATCTGCTTCATTTTGACTTGTCTTTTGTTTTTCGTAGGGGGTTACTATCATGGCAAACTGATTTTCCCAAGGGAATTTCCCTTCAAACCACCTAGCATATACATGATCACACCCAACGGCAGATTTAAATGTAATACAAGGTAAAGAAAATGTTATCTTTTCAAACTCAGTCTTTCTTTTTCTAAATGTAGGCCCTTACTAAGGGCATTACACAATCCTGAGTGCCTTATTGCTGCTATGAAATGTTTACAATATAAAAAAAAAAATCTTTATTGAGCAGACTCATGAGTTTGCTTTAAATAGTGTTCATATAGGTAGTATGAATGAAATTTGGATGTTCTACATCTGCATGTTGTTACTGTCACGTGACTAGGTTGGGTACCGAAACTCGGTGCCAATAGGGAACCGGTTCCGACGTAAACGGTAGTAACCAGACCGAATAAGAAAGAAAATTTCGGTGCCTGATTTCGGTGCCTAACTTCATTAGGCACACACGCGCACACACACACACACACACACAAGGTCTCTCTCTCTCTCTCTCCGCCGTGCGTGTGCTACACAGTTTGGAGCACAGTTTCTTCTGTCTCGCATGCGCGCTCTTTCTCGCAAGGTTTGGCTGCATTTCACGTGTAAAATTACGTGTCAGAACGCCCTCTGGGTGTGCCGATAGTCTGAATCCCATATAGAATCAAGCCAATTCATTGGCTGATGGCGCCGCATCGACGCACTTACGTCTATGCTGTCGCGCGCGCGCCATCTGCTCCTCAGATTTCTCTGCCGAAAAAGGAAGCTGGTCGGCAGCGCGAGGAGCTTGGCTGCGTCCCGTTCCCTATTGAGAGATATGTTACACCAACCAGAGATGTTCTCTTTCATAGGTTCACTCAACGCTGCGTAGCTAAGAAGCAGTGGGTTTGTAGGCTGCTGTATCACGTGCCGTTTGAACTGACGCGCTACAGCGATCTGTCACATTTCAAAGAGCCAAAACGTTATTTATTGTGTGAATCTCGTAAAAATATTGACAGAATCTGACAGCTGTGGATTTAATCCATATCAAAAGTAACCTTCTCTGTCTTGTCTGTCAGTGTCCTCTTTGTCCGCGATTTTTCTGTGTGAAAAGGGTCATTTGCGTGAGTCTCACGGTCAATGCGTGAGAGTTGGCAGCTCTGCCTGCTAGTAATCTCTATTAATCTCCAGTATTATTACATTGTTTGATACAATATTGTTTCATTTGGTATTATGTAAATATGAATTTTTATTTTATATTGGTTTTATTATTACCATATGTTACTTGTATTTATATTATTTAAAGATTTAAGTTAATATTGTGTCCAGTTTGGCCCTGTAAATTAAAGGGTATTATTTTTTGATAAAGTGTGTGCGGTTTCATTTTCTTAAGTACCGATTTAAGAACCGTTTAAGCACCGGAACCGTTTAAAAAATACCGAGTAGGTACTGGAATCGGATAAAACCCAAACGATACCCAACCCTACACGTGACCTACCAGCATCAGTTGCATCGCTTCACTTCCATTCATAAATCCTCTCCTGTGGCCTCATGGGATTGTAAAGTGTCCATCAAATGTAGTCAAAACGGTAGTAGGAGGTCATCTGAGGACTTTTCGCCTACTGTTTTTTGAATACTATATATTCGGACATACAACTCTATTGGCGTTCTGTTTTTCGCGTACCATCTAGTAGGAAAGTATATGATTTCGGAATTCGGACGCAGCGATAGATTTCATAAGTCTTTCTTATGGGAAGATCAGAAGAACAATACAATTCCTGCATAATGACTAGCTTTCGCTTTCTCTTCCAGGTTGTGTCTTTCCATCACAGATTTTCACCCTGACACGTGGAACCCTGCGTGGTCTGTATCCACCATCTTAACCGGCCTCCTGAGCTTCATGGTTGAAAAAGGCCCGACTCTCGGCAGTATCGAAACCTCTGACTTCACAGTGAGTGTTACGCTGATTTAAAATCACAGTGAAATGCTTTAAGCTGTGTTCCTTCTCATGGTGTTTTTATTAAAGGAATAATTCACCCAAGTGAAGAAATAATTTAGGGCTGCCCCCTAACAGTTGACTAAAAGAGGCTTAGTTGACCAAAAATTGTATTAGTCGGTAAGTCTCAGAAAAAAACAAAACTGGTGGTGAAATCACGCAGTCCGTGAGGGACAGACCGTTAACGGCAGGTCCTTGTGGCAGGAAATCCAAACGTTCGCCTATCATCTATCTACCTTAAATATAGCTTATCATTTGAAACATGTAAGTAGTAGCAACTTTACTTGGCCGCTCGCTCTAATGTTAACCTAGATGAATGTCTTGCATCAAGAGTAGCCTAATACATCATTCGAAATGGACAAATTTTATTTGTGTGCACTCACAATAGCAGCTAAAGGTGTTCCTTTGTAAAATAAAGAAAACAAACAGGATGCACCTTCTGCTGTCTCTGTCTCTGTGAATTGAAGTTTTTCCTTTGTGTTTTTTGTGTACAGATGACAATATTGTCAAAACGATCCCCTTTGGATCTGCAAAAACGACTAAAAATGCTGTATTATGCTGCCAGGCCAGTAGTTGGCGATGTCACTTTGTAAAGAAACACTATGCGCTTAGACTAAACATGTAATATGAATGCGCATGACAACACAAAAACTGAAAACTTTATAAGGCATTTCAGGGGCCTGAAAAAACGCACTAGGCGTGTAAATGAACGGCCAAAACCCATATAAAGTTTTTAGTAGAGAACAGTGTCGTGTAAACTGCCCCTTAATGTGAAAATCAGTCAAATCCTGTAACGTGGCTTTTGTTAAATGCGGTCTACTGCAAGATGTGCTTGATATTAAAAAGAGATATTAAAATCGTAAAAGAGACTTGCCGTTCCCCGTTCCCTGGATGGCCACTTTAAGTGGCATTTTTGTAGGGCTGGAGTTGACCGAAATTGTTTGGATATACAAAAGTGGGCATTGCATTCAGAATTTGTGAAATAATTCAAAATGGAGAGTTATTTTATTTTAAAAATGAACATAAGTTAGCAAGATCAGTTTTAATGGCGTGTTTGTTTGAACGTGTTCCCTGCAGAAAAGACAGTTGGCCTCCCAGAGTCTTGCATTCAACATCAAGGACAAAGTCTTCTGTGAACTGTTTCCAGATGTTGTTGAAGTAAGTGCCAGACTTCCTCACAGATGTATGCATGAGCAGTAACACAGTATTTCAACAATTGTATTAATACTTGATCCCGTTCGTCCCCCATGAAACAGGAAATCAAGCAGAAGCAGCGTATGCAGGAAGAGCTCAGGTCTCGCTCACAGGCGCTGCCCCTCCCTGACGTGGTGCCGGATGGCGAAGCCCATCACGCTCAAAACGGCCACCTGCCCCTGAACGGGCACCTGCCCCCGGGTGCGGCACACCCGCCCGACCTCCAGCAGGTCAACCGTAACCATGGACTCCTGGGTGGAGCGCTCGCTAATTTGTTCGTCATTGTAGGCTTCGCCGCTTTCGCCTACACGGTCAAGTATGTTCTGCGGAGCATCGCGCAGGAATGAATCGCCCAATGAGAACCATCGACAGGACAGACGAAAGGCTGGTGCTGTTCTCACGACCAAATAAAACGAAGCAGTGTCCTGTTAATGAAATTGAGAGCTTGGTGATTTCCTCCATAGTGGTGACAACCAGATCTCGTGTAACACGGCCACTTAAAGGTCAAGGTCACATGAACGGATGGCTTTATTAATATGTAAGGAAATAAAAAAAAAAGAGCAAATTTTCTACCTTACACAGTTCCCAAAGGAAGCCAACTTCATGTGACCATGAAATTAACCAGAGTGGGCTTTTTTTTTAAGGCCTGAATCAGCATTTGTTGTTTTACATGTTTCTCATTGATCTGTAAGATTTTAAAATCTGCGCATATAGTATGCTGGGTTTTTATGTGGAAGATTAAAAGAGAAAAAAAGTCAGAACATTCCTCAAAAGCGAAAGGAAAAAAACGTTCTGATGCGTGTCGCACCACTTATTGCTGTGACGCAAATCCCAGAGTATTTTATGTAATGGAAATGGCTCGACTGTAAACATGCTTTACCGATGGAAACTTGTTTTTAAATGCATTTGTGCTCGCTTACGCTATGCCAACCGTAACAACAAGTTAGGCCGGGGAAGAAGCGGTGTGAAATGAATTATTTGTCTTCTGTTTGTCTGTGATGCGGCGCTCCAAGTGTACATTAACTTTCTTTCAGAGGGGAGTCACTGTCGGCTGAGAGAAAAGTATATGAACTCATTTTTTTTTAGGCCATGCAACACTATAAATTGTTTTTGTGCAATATGTAGGATTGTCAGCACTACTTGGCTTTCACAATACACAGCACTTCTTTTGTTTCCAAGGGTTGTGATTTTATGCAATAATTCTTAATAAATTGAAAAATCCATTTAATTCTTGTTATAAACATAGGCAGGTGAATATGCATTTAATTCTTACATTTCCTGTTATACTGTAAGATCTTTGGTGGTTTTTATTAGGAAAAGTACCTCGGGTTGCACAAGTAATTCACAATGAAGACTTGCTAGTCAAAGTCTAGTTTGCGGAGACCTACCAACCTGCACGGCAAAACATCTCTTTCTGGGTCAGAACGGCCGTGTCGCTGCTCATTCTGACTCGGGAGGGAGTTAATACTCATTATTGTACCAGTATGTTCTGGTCTCCCCCAATTCAAGTGTTCTGATGTCCCGATAGTAGCAGTAATACGTTTTTCAGCACCTCCATGGACACTGTTGATCGATATCCTTTCCTTTAGAGGGGCGTGTAATCAGAGATAGTCATGTTGTGTTTACATTTTGAATAAATAATATTCTATTAAAGAAAGCGGTCGTTCATTTGTGATTCAACTCCACTTCTTGCATTGTTGCATTTGTCAAAATTTTGGAAACATTACTATTTTTGATGTTTTTGAAATAAGTCTCTTATTCTCATCCAGTCTGTATTTATTTGATCAAAAAGACTGAACAAAAACCTAATATTGTGATGTTACAATTTAAAATAATAATGGTTTTCTATTTTAATACATTTTTAAATATAATTAATCCTGTGATCAAAGCTGAATTTTCATCATCATTACTTGATAAATCATTCTAATGATGATTTGATATTCAGTTATTATCAATGTTGGAAACAGTTGTGCTGCTTAATATGTTTTGGAACCTGTGATGCTTTTTTCAGGATTCATTGATGAATAATTTAAATAGAAATCTTTTTTTATCAATATAAATCTTTACTATTACTTTTTATCAATTTAACACATTGTTGCTGAATAAAAGTAGAGTAAAAAGAAAAAAGAAAAGAAAAATACTGACCCCAAACTTTTGAACAGTATTGTATATTGTTATATATAAAATACTCTACCGTATATACGTTTATATATATTATGTATATATATATATATATATATATATATATATATTTAAAACATTACACAAGGAGGTTATCATCAAAAGATTACATAGTTTAAATGCTTTTTGTTGTTGTTGTTACGGGTGAGTTACAAAGACTCAGCGACTCAAAACAAGTCTGACCCACTGATTTACACATCATGTGACCCGCGTCCGGCCAATCAGCGCTCGAGCTCACATCCCGGAAATGGTGACCATTTGATGTCCTACATTCCTCTCCAGGTCTCAATCATATTTCTGTTCGCTGTCCTTGCGGAATATTAATGTGTAACGATGGTGTTGACGGTGCGTCGGACTGTGTGTAATGTTATTAGACACCTGGAAGCTCGTCGGCTTTAATAAAGCGATGTTTTTACGGAGGAACTAATTGATAATAAAAGAAAAAACAATGAGGCCTAATGGGAAAGATGAAGAACAAGTGTCAAGCTGAGGAATTCAACACACAACAGGTGAGCTGCAAAGATTCACGAAGACAGTAAATTTGAGGTTTTATAAATGCATACAGCACGTCAGGTTGTATTTACGCAGCCAGCGAAATCTTTGTCACCGTCACGTCAACTGTAAGGTTAAGACATGTTTGACTGTCACATTGAAAGTTGAATAGTTTGTTTGTGCTACATTCGTCGCTGCCACACCTATTTTTTTTTTTATCAAACAGTAGCAACCATTGCCATGACAACCCCTCCCTGGCTACAGCCGTTTCTATAGCAACCACCCTGGATCACCTAGCTAGAGCGGTTGCTATGGCAACGGACGTTTGATTTGTACTTGTTTCGTCTGGATAGTCAGACATACCTTAAAATTGCAGTCATACAGACAATGACTTGAATGCATCTCTTAAAGTGACAAATCTAGGTGGTATGAAGCATGTAACTGAAAATTGTAAATAAAAAGTTAAAATTCTTGCAAAAAACCCCTAGTTTTGACAAATGACATTGGGCATAATATTATTATTATTTGTTATTTCGTGAAGCACTTATGTTTTATAATATTAATATATTTAAAACTTTAAACATAACTAACTTGTTTTCAGTAAAATCCTTAAACTTTTTTTAAACTTAACGTTTGTTCAAGTCAAATGGAGTCACCTTATGAAAACCTATTTAAATTTGTTAAATTCAAAAAAAAAATTCATACATTTCTTAAAATGTATATTGTATATATTAAAAAAACTAAATAATTATAAAAATATAAGTGCAATTAAATTATTTTATGTAATTAAAACTAAAGTTATTTTAAAAAACATTAAAATTGCTGTCATACAGACAATTACATTTTTTATTTTTTTTACATTTTGATATTTTGTAAAGAAATAAAGAGAAAAATATCTAGGAGGTATAAATGTCACTGAAAAAAAATCTCATTAAAAAGAAGTTTGGTATAATATTATTTGCTTAGCAGGGGAGCAGTTTTGTTTTAAAATATTAATATTTGAAATCCATCATGTCATTATCATAGCATAACCAACATACATAAGCCTTATTGTCATTTTATTCACATCAAATTAAGTAACCCTTAGAAAACATCTTTATATTTGTTTCTCAAACATTCATAATATTATATAAAAAGTTTTTGAAAATTATTAGGTTATGCAAGGTGCAAGGAAATTATTTTATAAACTTTCTTTTCTCTTAACTTTTCTAGGCATGTCCTCACAAATGCAAGCGTTTTCCTCTCCCTCCGTGTCCTCCAGTGGCCTGTCCCGTTCCAAAAAACTGAAGGTGGAAAACCATGTATGGAACGTGAGCAGCCAATCAGGCGAGAGCAGCTACTACCAGAACAGCCCGAACCAGACGAATGGCTCTTCCCCCTCCACGTCTGGATTCAACCCCAATTACAACTCCTCCAGCCTGGTGTTTCCTCCTCCTGGAGGCTCGCGGGAACAGACAGTGGTACGCGCCGCGGATAGCACCGGCAGCGTCCCGGAGCCTTCATCCTCCTCCTCATCATCGTCCACATCCAGTCGGCGTGGAAAAGAGGAGGGCTCCACCTCTCTGACAGGCGAGGGCTATCAGAAACAGGGCAGTCGGAAGCGGAAGAGCGAGGAGGTGGACAGCAGCGACAGCGTGCAGATTTTGGAGGAGCTCTCGGCTCCTGTGCTCCCCAACCGCGTGGCCGGAGGTGGAGGCAACGCCACGGCTCAGTCCATCGCTCATTCCACGTCCACCACCAAGAGCAGCAACTCCCACAGTGAGGGCGACTACCAGCTGGTGCAACACGAGATCCTCTGCTCCGTCTCCAACAGCTACGAGGTTCTGGAGTTCCTCGGCCGGGGGACATTCGGGCAGGTCGCAAAATGCTGGAAGCGTGGAACGAATGAGATCATGGCCATTAAGATTCTCAAGAATCATCCGTCATATGCCCGCCAGGGTCAAATAGAGGTGAGCAGATAACCGGAATCAAAACTTTTCCCAAATAATTGTATATTAGTGAGTAAAACGAAGTTCCTCAGAGTAAAAGTGAAAAGTCTCAACAAGAAATAAATAATCTGTCGCAATTGAGAGAGATATAAAGTTGCAATATAAAGTGGAGAAATTGTTCTAATCGTGAGATATACAGTCGGAATATTAAGAAATAGTTGCAATTGTGAGATATAAATGGCCCAGTTGTGAGATATACAATCACTTTTACAAGAAAAAGATACAATTGTGAGATATATAATCACTATTATGAAAAAAAGATGCAATTGTGAGATATAAAGGCCCAGTTACGAGAAATAGTAGCAGTTATGAGATGCTAAGTCGCAATTGTGAGATAAATTACCACAATTATCTAGCCTGGGAAAACCCAGACAACTTCCGGCAAATTTAGATTTGCTCTGAAAGTTAGTCTGGCAAAGAGCTCATTCAAGCCCATTTCCAATCCGTCGAAATCGAGGCACCAATCAGAAACGTTGTGGCGGGCTTTACACGATGACGACAGCGCTGGGATTTTGACGCCTACATTACAAAGATGGATGCCGCCGTCGAACATCACTCGTTCGAATCAGCTATCGCGTCTGTTTTAAGCGATTTGAACGTTTCCTTTTAGTTAAAAACCGAGCAAAGAACAACACTCGGAGATGTTTCTCCACCGCTCTGCATACGTCATCTCCTTCATCGCTCTGATTGGTTTAGGTCTATCCGCGACGTCCGTTGGTGACGCCCCTCTGGAAATGATTTGTCTATGACACTTTGCCAGACCATAACTCAGTTACTACTGAGAATGGTCTGGTTTTAACCAGGCTAACAATTATCATTAATAGTCACGGATTGAAAAGTTGCACATTCAAGAAATAATTTTTACTCTGAGGTGGAAACAGACTTCCATAACAAAATCTGTCATATCTCTCAGAATTAATATTGGACTGATGCAATAACATATGTCTACTCCATCTATTTCTAAGTGAGCAATTAATCATCAATCATGTGCTTGATGTTAATTTGCTTAGAGGCAGGGCTGGACTGGCCATCGGGCATTTCGGGCATTTGCCCGGTGGGCCGACGTGCTTTGTGGGCCGGTACATACTTGAATTTGTTTTTTTTTGTTTTTTTTTTGAACGGCCTATAAAACTCGCACATCGGCGGCCCTTTGCGTTTAGTTTTGCTTAATTGGCGGCGCTGGGATCTTTGTGCCGGTGTAATGCATTGGACACAGCGTTGGTTTATTTTTTCTCTCACAGACCGGCGCATGATGAAACGCGTAGATCAGCGGCCCATTGGTTATTTTCTTGATTGACACTGGGCTGGTCCAATCACATCTTTAAACTCCTCCCCCTTTGAGCTCTGAGTGAGCGAGCAGTGTCAGTGTGTATCTGTCAAAATAGTCAGAGCGATGGAGAAGAAACGCAAGAAATGTGCAGAGAAATAGCGTGAAAAAAAAAAACTTCAAAGGCCCTCCAAGTGACTGATGAGGATAGTGAGGAGGATAAGGAGAGAAATAAGTGAGTGCAGAGAACTGTGGTAAGCAGAACTAGGCTACTTTCAGAACACTTAGGCTATGTAGGAACCCACTACCCAGTTACGCATTATTTCCAATCTGCACAACCATCTTTTTCGCCAAAAAAAAAGATCGATGCCGTTTCCGTCAAAATAAAAGATCATGTGCTTATCTCTTTCAAGTATAGAAATTAGTACGAAACTAATTATGAAAGTTGCTTTTATTTTTCAGTGCATTTGTTTTACAACATATGGCTATTACTGCCATGGGATTAATATTATAACTAGTATTATATAGTAGTGTAATGTAGACAGACACTATATCACAACTAAAAGAGTTTTGAGTTTTTCTTTGTTCAATTTGCACACTGAATATGGGTTGGAGCTCTTAATTTTGAACTCTCAAAGTGCATCAGATTGATGAATTTAACATTAAAAAGCACAAAATTTTCTTACAGGGGAGCATGCCCCCGAACCCCCCTAGAGGGACAGAGGTGCCCTCACCA